AGTTGAGCAATTGCATGGAAGGAACATTGAAAACCCGTCAGGTTTGTTCATTGATCCTTCATAATTGTGATGTTAACATAGCAACAATTGCTGAATATCAATGAAATAAGAAAAATGCTGCTCATCCTTAGCTTTCCAGTTTCATACTTAATATTATGAGTATTGTAGTATGTTAGTTCTGCCCTGAAACAGTGACTGTAACGTTACAATTTTAAGCATAAAAGTCAATAGTTTGTAACAATGGACTTTGTATAGTTTTGACTTCATATTGGTTATTAATTTATTTTTTTCCCAACGTGCTGGTTGATATTTGATCCTGTATCAGGTCATAGTACCACACAATTGAGAGTTGGGAATGCAGCAGAAAACAGTGGGCTGGAGTTGAGATCAAATGGTGGAAATTTACCTTCGTTAGAGGTATTTCTCTACCTTGACTGTTGTGCATCATTGATGGTTATGTTAATTTTTTTTTCCTTCTGATTTACTGTACCGGTGCACACCTTTAGAAGTTGAATGCATTTGTGTAAATTGTCTGATAAGAAAAAGAAGTGAAGTGAACCAACTTCACAGATATTTTGATGATTTTAATATGTCATGGCAAAGTTTCTCTTTTCTTGGTTGATTGATAAAATGTATTTATGCCTTTTGATTTTGCAGGCTGTTGATTCTACAAGACCAGTTCCTGCATCAAATGGAGTGACAACAGGACAAAACAAAGAAATTAAATACTGCGAAGAGTCTAATGGACACGTCAAAGTTGAAAGAGAAGAGGGTGAGTTGTCTCCAAATGGAGATTTTGAGGAGGATAATTTTGCAGTTTTTGGGGATACAGCCACAGAGCCTGCCAATAAGCCAAATGATGGTGCTTCAAGTGCTCCACACCAAAGCAGACAGAGAGGTGAGGTACATCAAGGCAATGCTGGAAGAGGAAATGATGCAGATGTTGATGATGAAGGCGAGGAGAGTGCTCACAGGTCATCAGAGGACAGTGAGAATGCTTCAGAAAATGGGGATGTTTCCCCCAGTGAGTCCGGTGATGGAGAGGATTGCTCTCCTGAGCATGAAGAAGATGGGGAACATGATGGGAATGATAACAAGGCTGAGAGTGAGGGTGAGGCTGAAGGAATGGCAGATGCACAAGAAGATGGAGATGGAATATCATTGCCTCTTTCAGAACGCTTTCTGCAAACAGTGAAGCCTCTAACAAAGCATGTCCCTGCACCTTTAAATGAAAGAAGAAAAATTTCCCGCATTTTCTATGGAAACGACTCGTTCTATGTTCTCTTTAGATTGCATCAGGTAAGGAAGGGTTTACTTTGGAGTCATCTCAAATTATTGTTGATTATTCTTGTGTGACCTTAAAAAATACAATTATTTTGGCCAGACTTTGTATGAAAGAATACAATCAGCAAAGATTAACTCAACTACAGCCGACCGCAAATGGAAATCTTCCCATGAAACAGTTCCGTCTGACCTGTATTCAAGGTTCCCATTTATAAGGCTTTATTGTTCTACTTTTTAACCATTTTGTTGGTCAGTGCATGGTAATCTGAAATAGTTTTCTTGGTACAGATTCATGAATGCACTATTTAGTTTGGTTGATGGTACATCTGACAACACCAAATTTGAGGATGATTGTCGAGCCATTGTTGGCACTCAATCATATCTTCTTTTCACTTTAGACAAGCTTATATACAAGCTTGTCAAGCAGGTCTATCAAATTCCAAGCACTTTTTATTTAATTGCTTTATCCTTGTAATAATATCTAACTGTTTTCTACCTTTTTGGTTGCTTTTGTATTTGGATCTCAGCTTCAAATATTGGCCTCTGAGGAAGTGGACAACAAGCTTCTTCAGCTATATGCATATGAAAGCTCCAGAAAACCTGAGAGATTTTTAGATGTCGTTTATCACGAAAATGCTCGTGTTCTACTTCATGATGAGAACATATACCGTATTGAATGTGTATGTCATTTTGGAATTTCCTACTTTCTCGTGTGTGTGTTTTCCTTTTTCCTGGAGTTTGTTATATAGTATTGGACAGTTGTTGGCTCATTTGTTTCATACATGTTTGCATGTTCGTGTATGATGCAGTCATCTTCACCAACGCGATTGTCCATCCAATTAATGGAGAAAGGGCATGAAAAACCCGAAGTGACAGCTGTGTCAATGGAACCCAACTTTTCAAGCTATCTACATAATGATTATCTCTCAGCTGTCCCAGATAAGAAAGAGAAGCCTGGGATATTTTTGAAGAGGTATGCAATGTTTGTGTTTTTGATTTTTAAATTATTGATTGGAGCCTTGAGCTCTGCTGAAGCTAAGATACATGCTGTAGCAGGAATAAACACCAACATACGAGTGGAGAAGAATCATCTAGTGCTTCCAAGGCTATGGAAGGAGTTCAAGTTGTCAACGGATTAGAGTGCAAGATAGCTTGCAATTCGTCCAAGGTATTTTGATCATTGGAAGAGATAGGCATTTTGAAAAAGGTTGATTGCATGCTTTTTAGAGCTTAAGTGTGTGGAATAAATTTTTTTTTTATTGCACCTGGTAATTTGGCATGTGTCGTAGGTGTCATATGTATTAGACACGGAAGATTTCTTATACCGGAGGATAAGAAATAGGAGAACTTTGCGTGTGAGCAGTGCTTGCAATGACCAGGCGAAGTCACAAAATGGCTCTTCTCGCAGATTAGATCCATTTAGCAGATTGCTTGCAAACTCATGCTGATCCATACTGATGCCCACTGGAAGCATGTGCTGCTGGTGCGTGAGGAGCTGTGCTCATTGCAATCTATGACAATATCAATTGAAGCATTATGGTACACTATCAGATGCATGCGTTGCTCAATCTACTTTTGCTGTGCTCTGGGGGTTGCTGAAGCAAAGGCTAACTGAAGTCGCTGGGGAAGGATTACGATTACGTGCTTCGGAAGATCAGAAGGTATATTCCCTGCTCAACGGGAAATTATTACTAACTTTTGCGCTTTGGATGAAGGATAATAATATATTCGACAAGCGTACAATAGTTATATGCTATTTTGGTGAGAGAAAGAGAGAAGTCATTGTGTATGGAGCAGGAGATAGAGCAAAAGAAAGGAAAAAGGAGTTCCTTTTTGTTGAAGCATCCCCTAATTTCTTCCTTCCAACCTAATAAAGGGAGTGATGATGGTTTAAGTGTAGTATAATGTAAGTTTTGTGGCAATTAAGCCACAATTGTGTAAATATAGCTAAAATCATTTCATTCATTTACATTACTGATCAATGATCATTTTTGTTTCACCTAATAGCCCTTTTTTCCTTTTTTTTTTTTTTTTTTTTTTTGGTTGCATGATCAAATTGATGTAATTTCATATGGATAATTTTATCAATAGTTGCAGTCACGCTGCCCTTTGAAGTAAAAAATAGTGGAAGTTTTTGTTTTTGCAAACCTTGTCAAATTTTGTATATGTGGTCTTTCTTTGCCCTGGAAGGATCTGTGGATGGCAGATAGTGTTAAGGTTTTTCGTGGATTATTGAGGTACTTATATTTATTTATGTGGTTCCATTCAATTGGAAAATACCTAATTCGTCGCATTTTTATTGCCAAGAAACTATTTTGGCGCATATGTTAAGAAACCTATTAGTAGTTGATAGAAAAAAACGAGTGTGGGTTATACCTTGGGAGGAAGTAGAGACCAAAAAAAAATACTAATAATAGTAGTAACCCAATTAATAATTTTTTAAGTCTAAAAAAGGATTAAATTGGATTGAAGTGACGTTTGAGCTTAATAGCTCATTTTTCTTTATTTTTTTGCCCCATTGTCAATATTTAGCCATTTAGGTCAAATTTAATAACTTTGACGATAAATTCCCATTATTCTATAAAAGATAATATAGGCACGCGAAATTATGTTGAATTCGTCCCATTGTATATTTTTATTAATTGTCAAGTGTTTATTGCACCTAAAAAAAATTTATATCAAGTGTGTATAATTTTTTCGCATATAGAAATTGAAATATATATATATATATATTCCCTACGTATTAAGACGTGTATTCGAGACCGAAAAATCAAATAGAATAAAAAAAGAAGTTAGTGACAGAGGGAGGGAGTGGTAGTCGTTCTCTTGTGAACGACTCCGAAGCAAGAGTAAGAATCATACCCTTATAAAACTAAAAATAAAATCGGAGAAATTAAATAATTTTTTTTTTTTGAAAAAAAAAAAAAAAAAAACCTGATAAAACTAAAGAAATTACTCGTAATTTACTGAATATTGCAAAAATATAACGTATCAAGGTTGGCTTCTTCGCTGATTGACTGTCCACGGTCCGCCTGCTTATACAGTACATTGTTTCTAAATCGAGTACATCAAGTCATATCATATTACTTTGAAAATTTAAGATTGCATACATTCAGCAAGCTTGACATAATCCCAAAAACTCAGCTGCCTTAAAAGCTGCTTTGTGAATTCTTCCATTCCCTTTTTGTTTACCCCAATACAATTAATTTTGTTATTTTCAAAATTTTTGGATTGAGTGAAGGCGTGAAGCTGATGAAAGACAAAATTGAAGGGATCAAATTTTAGAGTAAAGTGATGATCCTTCTTATAATCAATTCAATAGTATAGGGCATATTACTTGTCAAAGGGAGAAACCTTAAAGAAAATTGAAACGAACAAAAAGGAACAAAGGAAAACTAGAAGGTTAGACAGAGGTATCTGGTATCTGGTCTGGCTTAGATGAAGCGCAGTGTTGAAGGCCATGGACCCATGGGCCGTGGCTAGTCATTGGGAGACAGAAAGAGTGGTATTTATTAGGCTATTAGCATTGTGTTCAGCAACCAAATTTTATACTTCGTATTAGAGTTTTATACTAAGAGCAGGCATTTGATAATGCATTCAATATATATTGAGTTCAGATAGATTATGAACAATCAAACTAGATAGCATTTAGTCACAATGATCATTGTCATCAATCACGAAAACACACTGAAACATACTCGGCCACGAAAGCCATGGGGAAAAAGAATGATTCTTCATCTTGCTATAGAATCTTATCATTAGCTTAAACAATCAAATTTACAGGAGCTGATACATCATTCCTTACAAGAGATTCTACATTTGGACCATACACAAAAGTTTCAACAAAGCCTGCATATCTAAACCTTGACACAATGACACTGATAATAATGTACTATACATCAAAATAAAGAGAAGCAACTCGAAACACTACTGCACTAGTATATTTACAGCAAAGCTACAAGTATTTGACTAAAAGTGTTCAAAATCTATGCTGCGTACTCCTATAAGACCTTCTAGCTTGAGGCGTACATGAATTCAAGTATGTTAATTAAAAAATGAAATATACACTGAATCAAAGATATACCTTGCTTCAAAGATTGCCTATAGCAGATGTGCCTATTCATGCATACAAATCATACTTCTTTTCTAATTTTTTAAACTGCTGAAGCAAATACACCTGTCACAAGGAAAAGGGAGAAGTTAGTAGAGGAAACAAGAGTATGGGTGCATACATTTTAGATAAGCAACTTAAGAATGTTACAACCTTGCAGGTCCCCTCTTTAGCAGTCATAAAAAGTACTATCAGAGGAATATATGAGTCAAACCGAGTACTACCCCCTTAGGTTTAAACCCATTTAACCCAACTATTAAATTGTGTTCTCGGGAGAACCATGCTTTCGTGCTCCTGAATTCACTGCAAAAAAATATGTAGTTCAACAAAAAATAATATGATGAACAAAAAAATATCATGACGATAATAACATGTAGTTCAACAAAATAATACTTTCTCCGTTCTCTTTTAAATGCAACACTTTCCATAAATGGAAATATCATATTAAATGCAACACACTTTATATAGTAAGTTTTTTTAATTGAATTTCCAGTTTTACCGTTAGTTAAACAACATTATATACTTTAACTATTCAAACACCACTCTTAAACATAATTAAACCCAAGCTACTCCAACCCCCAAACCATTGTACTGGTGACTTCACCTCCCCCCTCTTTCTCTGTCTTCATCCTCATTTCCCCCATAGCCACCGTCGACCGAAACCACCACTACACCCACCGGAACTACCACAACTCCCATTGAAACCACCATCACTCCCACCGAAAACCGCCGAAACCACCACTACACCCGTCAAAGAACTACCACAGCTCCCGCTGAAACCACCACCATTCCCGCCGAAACCACCACTACACCCACCGAAAACCTCCGAAACCACCACAACTCCCACCAAAACCAGCGGAAACCACCACTCTCTCTCTCTCTCTCTCTCTCTCTCTCTCTCTCTTCAATTCTGGAATTTTCCCCCAAAATTCACCAAGAACCCTAATTTGTTTTCCTTATCTGAGCATTTGAATTCCATATCTGAGACCCAAATTGTCGTCTTTTTGAAAATGAACAACATATCCATGGATCCAAGTAATGAATCTCCTTAATCAATTAATTTTTTTCCTTATTGGAGCCCTCGTATTTTTGGGTGAGCATGGTGGGGTGCTTTATAAGTGGTGGTTTTGGAAAGTTTTGATGAGAGTGGTGGTGATTTCAGAAAGTTTCGTGAGAGTGGTGGAGGATTTGACTGTTTTTGGTGGGAGTGGTGGTGGTTTTGGGAAGTTTCAGTGGGAATGATGGGTAGTTTGGTGGTTTTCAGTGGGAGTGATGATGGTTTTGGTAGGAGTGGTGGAAGTTTTGGTGGTTTTCGGTGGGGGTGTTGGTGGTTTCTGATGGGGCTGGTGGTGTGTGAGGTGGGGTGGGTTTTCAGTTCACATGGGTACATCGCATATTAACACTTAATCTCTCCTTAAATTAAAATGCTTAAGCTCATGTGGGACCAAACTTTTACCTTCTCTCTCCACTTTCTTAATTTCTGTGCAAAAGTGTATTGCATTTAAAAGAGAACGGAGGAAGTATGATGAACAAAAAATAACATGATGATAATAACATTACACTTAGAGGTGTCAATTTGGGTGTTTGGAGGTGAGGTCGGGTCAATTTTAAAAGTTGAGTCACGCTAAATTATTGTGTTTACGCGAGTCAAAATCTAAATCGGATATTTTCGGGTCGGTTTCGGATCGGGTCAGGTCGAGTGTGGTTTTGACACCTCTAATTACACTAAAACATAATTTCAATTCATTTTCAAACCTATGTCATGATTCCAGAAGCACAAAGAGCATGGTGCTCAGATGCTCACAGTCACAGGTGCACTTAAAAACTAGGAATAACCTTCCCAATGGAGCTTCTAGATATTGTACAGAACAATGCCACTTTTAAGTTTGTACTCCCTCCGTCCCATATTTACATGCCTATTTCTCAAAAAACACGGGAATTAAGGAAAATGAAGGGAGTAGAGAAATGTTGTATTAGAAAGATAAAAAGTAGAGAATATTTTATGGGAATAACAAAAAGCGGAGAATGTTGTATAGGAAAGATAAAAAGTAAGTAATGATTGTTTGGATATATGTGTATTTTGTATGGGAAAGGTAAAAAATTGTATAAATTATGATAGAATTATGTGATATTTTTAGAAATAGGCACAACATTTTGGGACACCCAAAATGGAATACAGGCGTGTAAATATGGGACGGAGAGAGTATGTTTTATAGAATATGAATTAGCTTTACAGACATTTTGGAATGGAACATCCTTTGGGTTTGTAGTTTGCCTAAACTCTTCTACTTATTGGGATTTTCCAGGCCCATTTCACCTTCTCCAATAAAATAGCATATAGTTTTCTAAGATTCTTAATTAATACGGAGTAGTTAATGAGACAGGTTTGTTCCAAAACTGAGAGCTCAAATATATATAGATATAGGTATCAAAACACTTGTAATTTCTCTTCTATAGTAATACTTGTACATAAAAAATTCTCTGTAAAGCTATCAAGTCCCTTAATTCAGCTACTCTTCCCACACACAAAGCATCACTGAAGCACAACTTAGTCACTAAATAATCAAGACTGAACTGAAGCAAGTAACATTAGTGTTCGAATAGTGATGAAAAATCAGCACATGGTACATTGCTCAATTATTTTTGTAGATTTGGGGACATCTAATAAGAGACATACTTTGGGTGGAAGAGATGAACTTATTTCCAAATTATATGGCAGAATTTAGAATAGCTTTGAGAAAAAAATATATATATACTCCGTTTATTTCTAGCTGAGTTTAGGGCTCTTGGATGGATAACAAAAATGAGACAAATAGCAAGATATCAATAATTAGTATTTGTTTGGTTTAGGATGTAGGGTACATGTGATTATTTGAATACATATTTTAATCCTGTCATCAACCAATCTATAGATGTATTGAAATTTAATGTACTCCCGTGTTAATAAAGATAGATCATAGATGAATGCATAACATACCCGTTTAAAAAAAGAAATTATCCAGATAGCTCACTAATTGGTGAACGGTCCATAACACCAGATGCTATCTTTGCATTGCTCTGTAAGATTGGGTCAACATCAGGCAACTTGGGAATCTGCAATAAGTACAATTACCCCGTAAGAAGATTGTAATAACACTAATCCCCGACGGACATAACAATATTTGTTACCTAAAGTATATTTGTAGAGGAAATTGTTGGTAACTAGCAATATTCTTTTAAAATGTAAAATACTATAAGTTTCTAAATTACACAAAATGCATGCATACTTGTGCTAATAAATCAATTGTCCGTCGTAAGAGTCTAGCCAGATCACCCTCATCCATTGCACAATCCATCATGATTTCCCGCCAAGTTAGACCAGAGGCCCATGCTTCTACCATACCAGAAAATTGGCTATCCAAGCAGCAAGATATCTGCAGGGAGAGAATATGATATATTATATGAGACATTACAGCATTTTCCTAGTTCCTAGATGATAAAAGATGCATATTAAGCATTATTAAAATACCCAAAGGTAGTGACTTAAACATTTAATTATTGTAGAAATGGTTAACAAATGCCATAGTGATGATAAATGGTTAACAAATGCCATAGTGATGATAAATAACGAGTACAATCAATCAAAATGGGCCAAAACAAAATTAGTAGTACAATCAAGGAGATATAGGAATAGTGTCCCCGCTTTTATGATTGAGAAGATGTTAGTAGATACCTGTACATCATGTTTGTCTTGAAGCTGCAATAGATAATTCCTGGGTTCCTCCAAATGGTTTATAACGTTAATCACAGTGGAAGAAGGCTCGTATATATAGCTGCAGCCAGTAAAAACAGATAGTGGTGAATAAAAAAGTATTGCACAACGAATTTATTATTGCTGGTTCAAATTAGAAGTTTAACTTACTTGTGCATGAACGTGGAGCATATATTTCACTACACAACAGCTTCTTCAGCTCTATGTGAATTATTTAGTTTGAAAAACGAAACCAAAGTCTATCAAAGGAGAATTTATTGCAAGAAAAGTAATGATGGCTTTAACTTTGCTAAAATATGTATTTGCAAAATTACACACAACTGGTACAAGCCTAAAAGAGTGTATAACCTAGGGAATGGAGAGAGGAGAAAGTATAAGCTACAATACAATGTTTCCTGCAAAACTTTGCCACCAAACATGCACAATTATTGAATTTGTAAATTGACTTTCCTACCACTTTCTCACAAAACTTTGCAACCAAACACCTCATAAATATCAAAAGTGAATTTTTTAATGAAGGAAGAAGGTAGAATATCAAAAGCACACAAGGGTCAAACAAAGGAATATATAAAGCACTACTTCAATCTTGCCAAAGCAATTTAAACTTAGCATTTAGAAAATCAACATGGTACTACACCTGTTATTCTTCCATGGTCGGACTTTTATCCCTTCACAAACTAGGCTCCCACAGACAGCAGCTAGTTGTGCTGGCTGTAGGTCCAACAGTACTCTGTCTCGAAGAACCATTGCAAGCCAAAGTTCATTTTCTCCTCGCATCGCAGATGCAGTTTCTCCTAGAGGAAATATCACATTTGTATTGATATCTAATGCTCTTGTTTCATGAATCACATTGCTAATCTGGTAGAGCAAGAACACAAAGTCAAAGTCAAATTACTATCCACATTGTTGTAGTAGTGATTAGAGCACTACAATACCCAAAACTAGTGAGGACACTGACAAAGCAGGATCTGAGAAGAGTGAGATTATTGTGGCCTTAATCAGGTGTTTCAGAAATTAGCAATTCATTAGATGAATTGTAATCTTTCTGCAATAGCAACCTTGTTTCCCCTAAAAAAAATTACCAAATAATAAATTTAATATTTTTATATTCATTATTACTTATTACAAGTATAAAATAGAACAATGGGCATTAAGCCCTGAAAAACAATAAACCACAATTTGAACTTAGATTGGATCCAAACTAGCATGTCCCAGGTCAGATTGGATCTAATTGGAGTTGGAGAAAATTAGAATTGGATTTGGAACTGAATAGATAACCTAGAAGAAGATATCAAATCACGTTGAAAACAATGAAATTTATATTAACAGATATGCAAACACCAAATAAATTTTTTGAATAGCAATATACTTCCTCCGTTTTTATGCATGAAACACTTTTAAATTTACACTTCATATACTATACAATCTCTATTTTGGGTGACTTGAAATATTTGCACCTTTTGACACTCTCTCTTTATCTTACACCCACCCACATTTTCAAAGTATTCTTAAACTACGTACCTAAAGTGAGAATAACAAAAAAAAAAATAGAGGCAGTACATATAATGTACTTCGTATACATATAGGAATTGACTACAATGAGAAATGAGAAAATGAGTAAGCCACTAATAAGCTGCCATGAAAAATGCATATACATCCCAAAAATAAACCAATTTTACTACAAATTGTAAGCAATGACCGTCTATGCTTTTCTGGCCATTGTTTTCGTATAAATATGTAGGTGGACATAGCAACTTTAGTTGGTTTTTCTTATTCTAAAGAATCACAAGGGACGATTTCTAGATAATTGACCAAGTGCATTCTCATCCATAAATTATTTTTTACTTATTTGTAAATTATTATATTAATTTTTTTTTGCATCCCATTATATATAATTTACCCCTTGAGAACTTTATTTATTTTTATAAAATCTTCACAGCTTCTCCTCCAATACACAAGCAACATATTGAGTACCCATAGACCGGCCACAGCTGAAACCCCAGTAAAATACTAGAGCCAATTTGAAAAGAGAACAAGGCCGTTTTACAGTTTGCAATTAGAACCGAAGTAAAAATCTGTCAATGACAATTATTGTAACTCAAAAAGAGAAATAAAGAAGAACTACAGACACCTTTGAAAAGTTTACTTAAAGAAACAAATATAAAGAGTGGCTGGCAGAAGATCTAAAGAAAGCCAACCAGCCCTGGTAAAAAAAATGAAGTTGGAATTTAGAAAGAAATCTATGTAAAAAATAGAAGATTTTTATACTTAATTTGAGGTAAGAGATATCTGCTAGAAAATGACAGTTAAAAAGGTAAGAACCATATATAGGAGAAGGCTCTCGTGAGAACTCCTCCTTTATGTGAGAACACTCTATAGGTTCTAAATTTTTACTCGTGTGTTCTAAATTTAAATGTAATGTTCTAAATATTTACTCAAGTGTTCAAAATTAAGTCAAATGCTCTAAATTAGTACTCACATGTTCTAAACCATAAATAAGTTAAGTTAGATGTTATAAATTTTAAAATAACTTGTTCCAAAATTTTAACTTATATGTTCTAAATTTTAAAACATGTGTTCTAAGATTTTAAATCATATGTTCTAGAATTTAAAGCATATGTTCTAATTTTTACTCATATGTTCTAAATTTTTACTCACATCTTATATATTTTATACTTGGTGTTCTAGATTTTTATTCACATGCTCTAAATCTTAAATTAAATGTTCTAAATTTCGTCAAACAAATTTTCTAAATTTTTACCCACATGTTCTAATTCTTAAGTCAAATGTTCTAAATTATTACTCATATGTTCTAAATTTTAATTTTAGTCACATTCTCTAAATTTTTACTCATATGTTCCAAATTTGTACTCACATGTTCTAAATTTTAGATCAGTTCTCATATAAGTTTGTGTTCTCACATATGGACCAATTCTCACCGGATCCTTCCCATATATATATATATATATATATATATATATATATATATATATATAAAGCAAGACGACTAAGAACCAGAGAATGTTTAGTTGTTGACTTTTAAACTTCAGGTTGTCAAGATCATCTTTGGAGGCATTACCTGCAAAAACTCTTTCCATCCCGAGGGTTCAATTCTCTCAATTCGATCAATCAAGCGTTTCTCTCTGGTCTTCAGGCGCCTAATCTTTCCCACAGTTAACTTTGCCATATCCAAAATCTTCTTGTATTCTCTAAAGCCTTCTGCACGGGTAATCTTTTTCTTCAAGTGCGAAACTTTATTTCTTTGTTTTCTATAGCATTCTACCACCTCAAGTTGTGCTGGTGACATGTGTGATGCCTAACACAAGAGTAGAAGACATCGATGATATTCTTATTTAGGGCACATTGAAGCTCAAACAAACTAAATGCCACAATGAGAGACAAATACCAAATAGGTAAACAACAGTGAAGAAAGGAGGAAACAAATTTGAAAGAGACTATCAGCCAAAATAATATATAACCTTATCTTCTTCAGACAGGCTACTCAACATAGGAACATTTAAACTCCAAGACCACGTCTCCAGGGATCCTTCCATATGCCATAAATTTCCCAATTCAGAATCAACAAACCTTGCCCATTCCATTCCTTCCTTATCAAGAAGCGTGGTCAAAATATCTCTTGGTAAAGCATCACCTTCATTCAAAGCCATGTTTGGAAAACCTGTTCTGTATACTGCTTTGATCCACTTTTCAGTGAAAAGATACCAAGAATTATCTGAACCAAGAGCCACATGATAAGATGGCTCAAAACATGGCAGCCTTCCAGAAGCATCACTACTTGTCTCTGCTTCCACCATGTTCAGCTTAAAAGAAACATCATTCTGTACCTGATAGAAGAGGAAAAAAAAAACATACAATTTGGTGTCAAGAGCAATAGACACAAACAGAAGCTAGTTCACGAATTAGCATGCCACTCAAATTCTTATTTATCAGTTCTATGAAATACACATCATTGATTTTTACCATCAAATAGTCAAAGCTGAACCAAATATAAGCTATGCAGTAAAATGTTCTTAAGATTAATTGAGCTTTTAACTTGTACTGATAAAGATATTTCCTGTATTCCCAGAAGTAGGTAGGAGAAACCCCATAGCAGTTATTGATATGTCACAAGAGGACTTTGTACATATACGAAGAGAGCTCGAGGCATTTTCTGCAAGGGGTGTATAATTGAATAGAAAAACAACTTGTTGTAGACAATAAGGAAATGCCGATGATTTGGTGTTGTTTGCACACACTTCCTATTTCCTAAGACATAGTAGAATGAGATAGATATGCATAAACATGTGCAACTCATTAAGCCATCATGCAGACGACTATGCAATGTCATGTCTCATGTTTAACATTAGACCTAAACTTCAGGTTCTACATCTTAGTCTGTTAGTCATGAATACGGGAATCAATAAAGCACGACATTATGATGAAGCATCCCTTCATCCAAATGGTTTATAAAAGTAAGGTATGCAGCAAAGGGTTCTATACTGGATATGAATCTCTAATAGATAACAAACCTAAATATACGAATCAGCTACATAGAAAATTTTGTAAGTATTGCCATGGAAGTAAACTTTGGGAGGTGACAATGTGACATATGTACATGATTAATAGATGGCATGCCTCGCAATCTTTGTGCCTTTTAACACAACAGCATTTCAAAGTGGCTTCTAGCCTTCTGAAGGAGAAATCTCAACATGTTGGAGCATGGAAACCCACCTCAATCATACTGTATATATCTAATATAGAGAAAATAAGAGCAAGAAAGAGTGACTACAAGAATTGCACACTCACAAGGTTCTTTATTTTTGACCCGTCAAGTGACTGAACCTCTGCCAAGTATACTGCAACAATTGAGTGCTCAATACCATCGGTATCCTTGTATCCTAGACACAGAAAAGGTAAGTTTCCATCTCCCAACTCCTTCAATAAAGGTTTAAAAGAAGACATCCTCTCCAATTCCATCCTTCGTCGAAATTCAACTCGGAGTTGTTTTTCTACCTGAGAGAAACACGGGCACATTTTAGAGCTTACTATACATCAAAATGCATGTTATAGGGTCCTGGAGCTTTAAATACCAAACACTGCAACTTCTTCAGCTCAAGAAGAGAGCACTCTAGCGAAGGAAACAAATATTATTGAGATCAATCTCTACAAGTGCAATGCTGATTTCCAAATAAACATCACATTAATCAAGCAAATAGATTTATATTCTTTATTCCACACTATTTTTAGTTGTCCAAGATTCAGAACTTCCTTAGCGTAAATTTGAAAACACAAGCCCAAGACAGAACCAGAAGCGCATTATTATCAGATGAAATTATAGCTTCCATGGTTATGGACGTTATCCTGCATGTCCTTGACATATTTGGCATACTCGATATAAAATACCTTTTCAACAACTAATACCTAAAACTACTCTAAAAGCGCAGCAACAGATGCAAGAAGTTAATTAGATAAGCAGATAACAATTCCTACTCCCTGAAAGAGGAGGAAAAAAAAGGGTTCCCTTAAAGGTCTAAAATTCTAAGAACGAGACTTAAGAAATACTGCAACCAAATTTCATTAATTTAATTACCAGGAGAGAGGCATGGAGGAGCAACCTACCCTTAATTCTTCCTGCAAACCAGTAATCTCTTGGTACGCTGATTCAGACAACAACTTCCTGATTTTCATATCAAACGCATCATCACTGACTTCTGCAGTTAATAGCTCTATTTCTTTCTGAATTCTTCCAAGCTCCTCTTTTGAAGTAAGCATTACATTACTCCCGAGGTAATTTCCAAAACTTTGCTCAACTAACTTCCTTGCCTCTTCCAAAGTTCGTCCGACTTGAGAAACCTTGATGCCATCCACTTCATTTGATCGCCGGGTAACTTTTGCGCCCTATGAAAAACTCAAATTGGGTAAATTATTAATCAGATCGAGTAGGTAGCTAGAGTGTAAGAGATGACAGTAGGAGCATACCCCAAGAAGGTTCAAAACCATTCCATATGAAGCTGTAAACTGTGAAACAAGAGGCTCCACACTAGAAAATAGAAGCTCACAGCATTCTTCAGCACCTTCAAAGGGACCCTGAACAAGTACTACATGACCCTTTTCATCTATACCTCGACGTCCAGCACGGCCTGCCATCTGAAGCAACTCATTGGACCTTAGCTGGATACGTCCAGCTTCACTCCTTTTGCTGAGAGAAGCAATAACAGCTGTCCTTGCAGGCATATTAATCCCTGCAGCAAGAGTTTCCGTGGCAAAAACTACCTTAATGAGGCCCCGCTGAAAAAGCTCCTCTATGAATGATTTCCACAGGGGAAGACAACCAGCATGATGCGCAGCAACACCTCGACGCAGGCCCTTTACAGCAGGTTCTCTGACAGCATCAGGATACTGAATACGGAACCGCTTCAGGGCCAGTTCCACTTCAACCTTCTCACACTCGTCCAGAAGCTTGGAACCTTCAAGGTATTGAACAGCAGCATCGCACCCTTTTCGGCTAAAAATAAACCATATTGCAGGCAGCATATCTCTTCCTTTAAGATGTTCCAATGTATCTTCAACTTTAGGAACCTAAAGCATGAAGAATATCTCCTGTTATCTCATTATTTATTGAATCAACAATCCGAGTAGGAAAAAAAACAGCTAATAAGTTGCAGAACTGGCATTTAAGAAGTCAGCCACATGGATAACAATGATGATTACAGGGACATACAAGTGAACGTCGTATCATGTTTATGTCATTTTTTGACAGAGAAGATTGTCTAGACGATCTACCATACTCCTCATATATCAAATCACTGTCATCTTTACGTCTTCTGGAATTCTTACGTCTAGATCCCTCATCATTGTGAGAACTCTCTCCTGAAGCATAGAGACGTAGATAGCTGACTGAAACTTTCCTGTTTCAAGGTACAACACAGTAGGAGACAGTTAGGGTCAAAAGCAGATGCCAAATCTAATTGCATGAAGAAAATATTCTTTAAGCGAATCAGGGAGAAATTGAAATAAGAATTGAAACTCAGGTAATTTCCAGATGCCCAAAAAGACATGTTTTACACCAAGTCTAGCAGCCATATAAAGCATGTTGGGTAGCTCTTATGCTTTACCCTTATCCTTAAATTGAGTGACCAAGTATGCAATTGCATATTGACATCAATATTTAACATATATTAGCTTCTTTATTAATGATATAGGTATGACTGTTCAAATTGCTGCTCATAATATAAAAAGGCCGACTTTATAATAATGCAAAACATTGACTACCTGTTCATACTGGTTCCTTTCTCATCAAGAAGAGGAAGTAAAGAGGTCTTCGTAGAAAAAAGCCACGTCAATGGTACAGGACGTTTTGATGATGTTACTAATTCTGTTTTTCCATGAATCTAAACAAAAACAAAAGGATATCAAGTTAGATTGCATTTTTACTACATAAATTGCATCGTCTGAGATTTTTTTTCCCCTTTTTTCATTCAGTTAGGTGCAATGTACCGTTTGCTCATCCAGAATCTTTGAGTGTTAGTTACAAAAAGGTTAGTTTTGCTTCAATCAATTTAAGTTTAAGTGATAGTGAAAGGTGTGAAACTAAACAAGCCACAAAATATGCCATGCTTTTGGTTTAAACTCATCCAAAAAAAGTATTATAACCAGGGTAGAGTTGCATACTTCCATTCTTCTTTTTTAATCGCAACGTTTGGAATCTTACACCATTCAAAGATATTCCTTTGACTGTCTGTTGTGATTTACTGTATACGTTAGGCAAGATGTAGTTTGGTGAGATTTTTTTAAATTTGTCTCGATAAAAAATATCAAATTTTTATAATTTTACAAAAAAAATAAAAATAAATAAAGATGTTAATAATATAAAATGTGCTTTGGCAAACATGAAACTTTAAATGTTGCGATTAAGAAAGAACAGAGGAAGTACGTTTTTAAAGCATTCCTCCAAACCTTTGCAAAGCAAAGCAGTAAGACTTGTATAGGTGTACGATGTCAATCTGAGGAAAAGTAATTTTAAGTAATGCTACTGACTATTGTATTTGCAATATTTAATCATGCATCAACAGTACCTGTCCAATCCAACCAGCTAGCTCATCTGGATTTGCAACGGTTGCTGACAGACAAATAAGCTGAACTTCTTTTGGGCAATAGATGACCTAATGAGCCCAAAGAATATAGTCAGTGGGTACTGGAAATAACTAAAGAAAGAAATGCGAGAAAACCCGCAAGGAGAAAAAGAAGAGGAAAAAACCAACATACTGTCTCCTCCCAAACAGTACCACGAGACGTATCACTTAGATAATGTACTTCATCCAAAACAATTACATCAACATCAAAAAGCCCACTCCCAGAAGAAACCACTCCAACACTGCGTAAAAATACATAAAATCATAATAAGAGACATGAAGTTGCAGATAACCAAGACTAAAGCCAGGTGATTGGCAAAATTAAGTCGCATTCATAGTACTTGGAATCGATATTCTATTATCATATTTTAACAAACACACACACACAGCCCTTAAACCATAATAAAGTAGGAAAACGTACTAAATGATTAGCAGACACTGCCAGACACATGCTTGCGGACTAAGTCAAAGTAAATCACATCATTTATCAACCGACAAAAGAATGAAATATTGATGGTGATTACAAAGTCTCATAAATAGAATCACAAGAAAGAAATATCACTCAAAATTCTTCATTCTAAATGTTGGATATAGGGGTTATGCCAAGATACATGACACTTCAAATGAGACCCATTCACTAACATCCTGAGTCCTGAATCCTAAACATACCAAGTTTGACCCCATTCCCCTAAGACAAGAACATTGAGATTGGATCTTTGAAGATCCAAGGGGCATCTAAAGATCAGCGCCCACCCCCCACTCCCCCCCCCCCACCCCCCCAAAAAAAAAAATGATAATCTCTATCGACTTTAAGCATCATTAATTAAGATTCCTATCAATTATGGGCAAGGAAGTTGCTCCAATATTGATTGGTCGAATATAGTCATTGACCTAGGTCATATCTAAGGAAAACACGAGGCAAGGTTTCCATAGGCGCTTCGTAAACATTCTGACATGACTAGCTTCAGCACATATGTCAGCATAATTAAAATAAATGCAAATTAATGATTGTTCACTGCTCACAAATAATACAAAATGGGAAAAAAAAATATATACAAAAAGTTAAAACAAAATATCAAATAATCTATAGGCTATAGTGAATTTTTCCGTGAAGTGTAAAGTTCGAGAAATCGTGGGATTTAATTCAAAGATAAGAAAGTGTCAGGAAAGAAGCTTAGAGAGACTTGGAAATTAGAGAGAGAGAGAGTATTTACCCACACAAATCATCACTTTAAGCTATCGTATTCCAGTTGTTGAAGTCAATCAGAGTGTTCGAAGACACAGTACTAAGATGAATATAACATTTACAGAGTCATCTAGGATATATCAGTAGCTTACAACTAGAAGAACAGTGTAATTGATAGATTATTTTTTTAAGCTTTTAGATTGGGTTATTTGGTGGGTCTTTGGTGTACTATAAGTATATGTCGTCCCAACCCATAGAAATGAGGTTTGTTATCTTTCATAGTTAGTTCCACAAAGAATACAGATCCTAAAAAATACTTAAAGAGTTCTGATTTTTCATGGCATTCAGCAGCTTGGTGAATATAAGCCAGCAACTACCACACCACATCATACTACTAAATCATTAACTACCACCACAAATGCCGTTGAAGGCTATTTAAAGTTTTTGTCCATCGCAGAACATGGAGATAATGATGACAGTATTAGATGTTACTCTTTTTCATATAAAAATCATACAGAGTAATTTTTCTCCTCTCCTCTATACAATTTGCCACTCCCTCAACTCTATTACAGCTCATCTTTTTTATGTCTTTAATGAATAAATAGCCACCCTCACCCCTTATAAATGTCTTCAATTCTCAGTTTCTCTTATGCCACTAGCTCTCTATAAGACTATAACAATATCCATTTGTACCAAAACACCCAATTTCTTCACCCTCTTCTCCTGTATTGATTTTCAGGGACTTGGTTTCAGTACTTAGGGATTTGGTCCAAGTGCTCCATGTCCTCACTCCAACATAAGATTTGCTATCTCCTTATACTTCTTTCGTTCTATATTAGTTTACACGTGTCTTTTATCATGTTTATCGATGCACAAATTCAATCATTAATATTATCAAATAAGTTGAATAACAAAAGATTGATATTTTGGCAATACACTTTGAGATGAATCTACAAGATCCCAGAATTTTGCTTTTTTTTTTTATCAATAGTTCACAAAAAGGTGGTCAATGTAGAGTTATCAATAGTTCAAAAAAGGTGGTCAATGTAATGTTGCAAACTTGCAATAGTGGGAATTTTTAAACCTGTCAATTTAAAAAGAACATAGGAAGTGTATAACTTCGTATATCTTTATTCATCCTAAATCCCTTAGCTATTCTCTTTTTTCCACTCCCTCCTCTTATGTAGATTAATCCTTAAAACATTTCTCCAGGATGTTGCCAGATATCATCACAGCTAGTGGACAATTCTTTTTCTTCTAACTTTACACCCACCAATACTATTCACTTATGTAATGCTTGTATTTTCTTCTTTTTTTGTTTGAATGTTAATGCATTTTTTTTTATTCCCATGAGATCTTATAATTATTTCCTGTGTTGCTCATATGAGTAAATGACCACCAACTTCTGTCTACCTCACCGATCCTTCACCTGTTCATTAGATAAGTTCCTCCAAATTATTTGCTTATTCTTTGACACTTACATTCTTTTGATTACATGATATGAGACAGCTTACATTCTGCCTATATCGGATCACCAATGATAGCTTCCTATCGACATAAATAGCTCTAAACACATTTCCCAAAAAAAGCAATTACCCTATCTCATCACCTCTAAATCCGCTCATAGGACAACACTATCTTCACTTCACAAAATACTACCTCCGTTTCACATTAAGTGCAACATTTACTAAAAACGGTTTCTCCACATTATGTACAACAAATGTTTTCTTTCTTTTTCAAGTTATCATTTCACTCTCTCTCTCTTTCTCTCTCTCTCTCTCTCTCTCTCTCTCTCTCTCTCTCTCTCTCTCTCTCTCTCTTTCTCCACATTAAGTTTGTTAAGAAAATCTCATGCAATCCTATGGTAATGTTAGTATCTTTACAAATATGAAAATTACATACAAATTCATTATCATTATTGCATTTATGATAGCTTACCAAATAGGCCATAAGTTCAAAAAGAAATTGGAATTTATTTCTAACACAACACATTCCTGATGAATTAAGTGTTGTATACACATCCTAGGAAATGACTATAATACGTTAGGTAGACATGAGATGATTGGCATTTTATAGGAGTTTAAGTATAAAGCGTAATTTGCAAGGAATGAATCAACCAAGTCCCAGTTCCCACGTTCTAGCTAAGTTGTGGTTAAGAAACTCCTCAAATAATTACTTCTCTACATTTTATAAACCTATGTAAGTTTGTCAGCTTATATATTTCAAAGTGGCCAACTAAATTACATAAATCTATTAAAAAAAAAAATCATATTCCGTAAAAAATCCATTGTCATAATCAAAGTATACTCTAAAGTTAAAAAAATATACCTTTGATACAGCATATTTCGCAAAATTTCCGTTGTCATAATCAAAACTTTAGCATCTTTGTTAATAGCAGAATCTCCTGTCAAAAGGCCAACATTACTCTCTCCAAATGCATCCCTAAAAACGCACCAAAAAACAAGAAAACATATACACACAACCATTATTAAATTTGACTTATCAAATCAAAATTAGACTAAAATTTAACAAATTATCAAATACTATGCAGGAGTATTACCTGAACTCCCGAAATTTTTGATTTGACAATGCTTTAAGCGGAGTAGTATATAACAACCGCTTTCCTTTTGCTACTGTCGCCACCGCCGCCACCTCGGCTATCAACGTCTTGCCACTACTTGTTGGTGCCGAGACCACAACTGACGAACCTCTCAAAAATGCTTTGATCGCCAGTCTCTGAATTCATTTTAAAGAAAACAATTCAAATTATCAACAAACATATAACATACAAAAACACAACAAATTTGAACATGTAATTTACAATTAATTCAGAAAATTGAAATAAAATTAACCTGAAATTTATCAATACGAAAATCATAGATAGAAGCGAGTTCATCGGCGTCAATAATATCAGCACCAAACTCTCTGACTTCATCACACAACTTCTGAACTCTCTGCAACTTAGAATCATTGCTACTCCAAAACGACGCGTTTAACTCCTCGTCTTGAGTCTCAAGACTGTCAACTTCGTCGTCTTCCTCCAGCTCACCGGAAACTTCCGCAACATCGGCGGCAACAGAATCGACGTCGTATTCATCGGCAGCTTCATCGTCTTCGTCGTAGAAATCATCTTCTTCGGCGTCGGAAATTTGATTTTCGACGGAGGATAGAGAATTTGGGGATGTGAAAAGGGGGCGAAATCGGAAATTGGGAGGTAATTTGGGGGAATGAAACCCTAATTTGGGGAAATGGATGAGAGAAGGAGAGAGAAGAGTGAAGGAGGAGAGAGAAAGTGGAGAGAAGGAAGAAGGAATTTGGAGGAGTATGTTCATGGCGCGAGAGCTGTTGCTTAAGCTCTCTTCCTGTGTTTCTGTTTTCTAACACGCCGCTCAAATTCAATCTCATTTTCACAAATTATCGTCTTTTTTAAAAGAATTTTTTGTGAAACGACGTCGTTTTCAGTGAGAATTGGGATGGTTTTGTGAGTTAAGTATAATACAAGGACCTCACATTTACAATATTTCACCTTTAAGGACCTCCCACTTTTCTTTTCACCTCTAAGGACTTAACATTTGGTTTCCGGTGATAATTAACATATGTTAACTCAAGTTGAGTTAAACATGAGTTTAACAAACATAAAGGCTGACGTGGCATGGGAAAGCGTGCAAATTGTAAAGAAAACACCCCATATTCATTTCTACCTCCCCTGTTTGAGAGATTCACTATTGTTTGAAGAAAAACCATGGCTCCAACATTTTCTCTATCCTCCATTAATGGCGTTGTCAATTTCTCATCCGGCACCGTTTAGTTTATCGGCGATAATCTCATATTCAATTCGATCTCAATTTCCATAATTGTATCACCTGCTGCTTCAAATCCTCATTTCACCAATGTTTGAAGAATATTCTCAATTCTCCTTCATTGTCGTCACCGTTGTAGCACCTTCTAGTGGTATAATTGTATCACCTTCTACTATCAATTGACACCAATTCTAGTGGTATATTTTCCCTTTTTTTCCCAATTTTCGATTGATTTTTTCCTAAAATCTTGATTTAGGGTTTGTCTTTGTCTTAATTAATTGTTATATATGTGGGTATATTTAGGGATTTAAGGTTATCCACCACATCAATTCATGTTTGTCACAACTTCTTCATCATCTGTTAGTATGAGTAGCCCCTTGAAAGCCTCGTATGCTTGCTTCTTTAGCATTATGACTTGACTTCAGCTACCAATGTTGCTTTGTCAATTTGAAGGGTCATATCTTGATGCAAAATTAATAGACATTTCATTGTTGATAAGATGAATAACATGAGTTTATGTAAATCATCTTGTTTTTTGGTGATTTGCATCTTATTCTTAATTATGCATTTCCATCATCCATGTGGAAATTCATCCTCTATTTCTTGCTTTTTGAAAATGCATTTTTTTTTTTTTTATATTATGCTTTGAAGGACTTAATTTATAATGAAGGGACTAACATTTTGGCCGGAGCTCAAGTGAGTGAAGTGGCCGGAATATTAACCCCAGGTCCTTAAAGGTAAAAAAAAAAAAAAAAAAAAAAAAAAAAATGGGAGGTCCAGGTGAAAAATTATAAAAGTGAGGTCCTTATATTATACTTAACTCTGATTTAGTAATAATAGGAATTTTAAGTGGGTAATTTGTGGAAAATGCTACACATACAATGTGATATGGCAGCTTTTCATTGGAGAATAAATTGGACCCCTAAATCCACTAATTTTGAAATATCATTTAAATTCAAATGAAATTTCAAACTAAACTAATATTTAAAAATTTGTCATTTCCAATAACACATTTATTTTTGAAATTACTTTTTTAATTAAAAAAAAAGTTAAAAAACCTATGAATAGCTTGCCGGAATTGATGAATTTGGCAATTTCCTTTAGATTTTTCTGATTATATGGTATTCAAATAGTTTAATTCCAATTAACAAATGAATCGTTGTTTTATTATTTACATAATATATTGTGTAACATATTTTGTGGTTTAATTGAGTTATTTTCATCCTATGTCAGTCTTCAACTATTGAAATGAGTCTTCTTACCATATTCCAATAAACTATTAAAATAAGTCTTTGTGTTCTTCAATTCCTCCCATTCTCTATTAAATTTGGATTTTTTTTTGAACTATAATACTTATTAAAGGTCCAGAAGTATCCAAAGGCATATTGATTACAAAAAAAATTGGAGATTCGTAGAACCTCGGCTGAAAATGGTGTATTAAGGTCGTCTATAATGACAAGAAGCCCCAATAATTTCAAAAACAAGTAGTAACACAAGTAGTAAAGTTTGTAAATTATTTAGTAACACGAGCACTAATTTTTGGTAAGCACATATATTAATACTATTATTTTTGCAATTATTGACATGGTGTTTATCCCACAATCTTAGTTACTTATTATAAATATAAAATTGCACTGATGTTATATTAATCCGAGTTCGATTCCTCTTAAGCACATAATTTTCCTTTTTTTCAAAATTTTTCCTACTATCCTTACATTTTTTTTTTTTTTTTTTTGAAAAAAATGCTTACAATGAGTTTAGTAACGACAACAACAAATATTGTATCCAAAATGTTGTGATAAATAATTTATATTTTATAAATGCAGTTTTCTAGTAACAAAAAATAAATTGTAAACAACTATGTAGCAATATATGGATGGTTTTATTTAATATGATTATCAATTAGTTCAATTTAATTATTCATTACTGTACAATTTTAATTATTATTACAATTAAAATGGATAACAAACATATATCTTTAGTGTTTCAAGCGACATTGAATATGTGTAATGGTTTTTGTTTAAATTAGTGTTATGTCTTAAGAGAAATAGGCGACAAGTGTATAGAGATTTTGATCGATGATGTGAAATAGACACAATCATTAGAAACTAATTAGAAATGAAGTTGAATAACTATAGTTAGTCGAGTAAAAAGCAATCGAGTTTCACACAAAAGTAATGTGACAAATTTGTATATACTTTACAAGTTTGGCGAAATGTTCGAACAAAATATCTAATGAAAGCAGAGCTTTGTTAACAATTAAAGCCGGATATTCACTGGGTGAACAATTTTCCACTACTGTTTTACAATAAATATAATTAAACAGAATAATTAGGGATATTTCTTTATTGATTTTACTAACCATTTGTTACTAAAGAAAATGTCACTGTTACTAAAAAAAAAATAACAAACATTGGTTGAGACAAGGACGTCGCAAGAACTACATATCACGACATGTATATTAAATTATCAGATATAATGGTTGATATATGATTTATTAATCAAGTTCTACGGGAGTTTAGAATTTCTTCAAAAGTTAAAGAAATGAAAAAAATGACATATATGCAGAAATATAATTTTATATACTGTATATAGAAATATATATTTTAACTTTTTTTTTGGACAAAAACGGAACCGAATTTTTTAAATGAGAGCTTTGTCTGACAAAGCAGACATTACAACTTCTAGAGGATCATCCTCCATCCAGATCAAATCCTCCCCAAAAGATAAAGATACTTTGGCCATAGAAAGGGCCACTTTATTTACAAGTTCTATGAGCAAAATAAAAGCAACACAAGCCCTAGCCAAGACTAGAATGTCATTCACGACCACTTAAGTAGCAGAGCATTCGATATATTTTGGTTGTAGAAGGTCAACAAGGTTTGAGCAATCTGACTCCACGATTAGAGTACAGAGACGACCAGCCTCAAAAGCGTACTTAAGCCCAGACAAGATTGCTTATCTAAAATATTTTAACTTAATCTATATTATGTACATGAATTTTGATCCTAATCTAAAAACCCAGATACATGGTGGATGAAAGAAAAATTAAATAAAAGTTAAAATTGAATCGAACATGATTGTTGAACAAGATCGATTTTCTTTAACTTGGATTGAACAGGCTTGCGAATTAAGTATTTTGATATTTAACCGGAAATTTTGCCAGCGTTAGTGGATTTTGTCATCTTCTCCGGCCATTTTTTTTAACTGTAAAAATGTTGGTATTTTTTTTTGGTTTTTAGGGAAGATAAATGTTGGAATATTATCCTATATTTTTTTTAACACATAATAGACGATATATTAATTACTTAAAGAGTTTTACAACAAGTAGCCTCATACCGTAAGCAAAATTAGAGGCCCAGATATAAACTAGAGCAAATGACCTCAAGGATAAGACAAAATTAGAGGTCATGAAATAAAGTTTACAGTAAGTGCCCTTTCGAAAAGCTTTAAAACACAATCAGCTAAGTAGACTTAGATTGAAAGTTAGAGAAACAAAGGAGATCAAGCTTCACGCATAGCAGCAATTAATATTATCCTATATTTATGGGTTAAATTTTCAGAAAAAGAAAAATAACATATTGTTGTAGTTAATGCTTATGGCACCAACAATTTCATCCAACAAGATTGCCGCTCAAGTTGCAATAAGCGCCATAGTGGGTGAATTATTTCCCCCCAATTTTTCCCTCTTACTTTTCTGGCAACTACTGATGTGGCGAATTTTTATAGGTATTGTATGTTCGGACCACATACAACAATTGTATGTGTATCAACTCCCATAATTTGTTGATAACAAAATTAACAAGGTTTCAATCTTCAAAAAAATGCAAGGAAGATTCCATCTTTCAAATAGAAGCTTTGACTTTTACGTGAAAATTGAACTTTATCTGGTTATTAGATTAGTGCCCGTGCAATGCACGGTAGTAATAATATTTTTTCCCAATGAAATAATAAGGTAAAAATTATTAAAACTACAATTGAGAAAAAATAAAATATTATTGCTGATTAGTTATGTTGAAAATATTTTAAAAATAATATAATTATATTACATTAATGATACATGTTATTCTCAATAAAACTATACAATGTACATGCTGCATGACTTTTTAGTTATGAATTAATTTAATTCCAAAAAAAAAAAAAAAAAAAACACTATACAATGTACTTCCACAAAATAAGCTAAGTAGAATAATAAAATATAAAAAAAAATTAAGTTGACATCATATATTGTATTGACGGAAACTTTTTTAATGATAGCTTGACATATGTCCAAAATGATCGATGTAAGCATGATCTGTTTTAATAATAAAGGAAAATAAAAAGTTATAAGTTGGTAAAACTATTACAGAAATCTTGAACAAAAAACTAACTCAATTATTATTGTTTCATAAGATTTCAAATCAACACCATGAATAAAAATGTTTGTTTGTTTTTTTTTTCATTAAACCTCACTATTATACAACTATATATATAATGGTAATTTAAATGTTAATATTGTATTTTAGGATCCTTTATTTTATACTCTCCACCATATTAAAAAGGTCTCAAATATTGTGTAACTATTTTTAAGTAAATAGAATACGAAATAAAAAGAAATACAATTATT